TATTTTGGCAAAACCTCTAAAATGTGGTTATTTTGTGGCAAAGGGTTGTGTAAACCGGTTATTTTTATAAATTTCCCTGATTTTTTCCCGATTATTATGTCCCGTTTTTCTCTGTATATGGTCCAATTTCTAGCGACTTTAAAATATATGTTTTTTTTATTGAAATAGTTTATTTGAGGGGATGTATCTGATTCTTTATAAAAATAACTTATTGACTTATTTCGGTAATAAGGATTTTTGAGTGTTTGGATAAACAACTTATACCGGTGCCAAACTGGTAATAGAAGTTTTTGAAAAAGTTAAATCCTTCTAACTTATAATAAGTTGATAAGTGTTTTTGTAGAAAAACATAAATTGTTTCAAATAAGCAATCCCAAACACCCTCTAAGACTTTTTATAATTTTCGTTAAAAATCATATGTGACATCCATAATTAATAGACATTGTTTTTTTAAAAGAAAAATGGTTAGTTTTCGTCAATATATCATATGTGATATTGATTATGGTGGAAAAAATGTAAGTTATCTACAACATTATATGTGATATGTGTAAATTACAAATTATGTTTTGAAGTACATGTGATCTTATACATTTTAAAGTGTTTTGCTACACATCACCTGTAATTCTGTTTTCACTATTTTTTTTAATGTTTAATTTAAATCATTGTTTTTCAAACATAAAATCACATATGATTAGAAAAAAAAATTTAATAATCAATCACGTTTAATTTTGACAAAAACTGGAAAAAAAAAATATTACTTTAAATAAAATATGAATTCTTTCAATGAAAATTAAATACGTTTATTTAAAATGTATTAAAAATAAAATATTTTTTAAATAATAATTTAAATCATATTAAAATCATAAATATGGTAAAAGTAGAATCCTAAATAAATGCTTTAAATATGATCGTTTGTTTATTACTTAATAGTTAAGTCATCAACTAATTTCGTTTAATTGCCACATCTCCAAGAAAATGGGACTCATATATTATTGTATTTAATGAAACCATGAGTTCATTTAACTCTAACACTTGCATTATATAATGAGCAGTTTTGTTTTATAACACCCATAATTGTGGTCGTAATGATATTGAAACGAGGTGATTACGTATAATTCAAAGACTCTACTACAATTTTTCTAAAAATATAGGATCTAAAATTAAAATCTCTAATAACTATATTATTTTAGCAATTTCAGTAATAATTATATTATTGAAATATTTTATAAATTCATTTTTTATTACAATTATTTTTTAAAATTATAACACATTCAACCTTAATGATGAAAATCTATACTATATTATAAAACATTTGGCTAAAACTCTTAAAACTCTTAAACCCGTTCATCCCTATCCGATTTCATCCCATATCTGAATTCGTATAACTAACTGCAGATAAACACAATCAAATACATGATAAACATCTCATTTTAATCTATACTATATTATAAAGCATTTGGCTAAAACTCTTAAAAACTCTTAAAACTCTTAAAC